TACTACCAAGCGACAGATCGCTTGGTAGTAACCCCCCCCCCCCACACACACACAAACAGAATAATTGGCTGTTATCAAAGCACCTCTGGTGTGCCGTTTGAAATGCCAAGATAAAACAGAATCTGGGGAAATCGAAGGGGAAAGATAGTTCCAAAGCTAAATAATTGCTTTTATCTGTAACCGTCGCATCAAGGAAGTGGCACTTTGGAGCGACTTGGGCCATCTTACATCATCTATTGGATATCCCACCGTCCAATTACTGCTTCAAAACATTGCATACCCTCAATGAGTGGGTTGTTCATTTTACTTAATAATTCATCATCAACATGGTGGATTTGAATTGGCTTAGTGATAAACTGTTTCTAATTACTGTGGTTGAGTTCCAGGCAATTTAGCTCCAAATCAATCACTTGACTGCGACCCAAAAAACCTGGGCAAGTAAAGGGACTGGCACTTTCCCACCAGGTAGCCTAACACCGGTGTAATAATGACCAAGTCAGTTGATGTTGGAACAGATAAAATAAATCTACATAGGCTCCTTAAAACCATTTGGCATCACGTCTGTTCAAACGGCACAAAAACCTTTTAAAGTTTCACGGCAGAGTGCTGTGCGGCTTATAAATCCAGCTGTATGTCTGAAACATAAGTAAATTGATGTCAATACTCACATTCCTCAGGTCTCATCTCAGTGACTTTCTGGAGCCACAACTTCCAGATCTCACAGTCACAGGGCTCATGGGCCTCGCCTTGACACTCCCTGGAATATAAATGCGCAGACAGTTGAAGGTGATGCAGACAGCTAAAGAGATCTATTGTAAGCACACATTCTGTCCCTGGACCACACATAAAAATGAAGACACACACACACGAACACACCAAACACACGCTGGTGTCTGAGACGCTGTCAAAACCTTCGACCACCATCAATTGGTCATATCTGCCTCACAGCTAAATGCCTTCCTCGTGTCAAGGGAACTATTAAAGTCGCACCTGTGTTACATCCAGCTCCAAATCAATCAAGTCAACTGCACTCCTGAGTAAACAAGACAGGTGAAGCTGACGGACACTTTCACACACCGGATAGCGAGGTGAAGTGGGTAGTGTTAGATGGGGTGGAGGTCATGTTATGATAATGATGTAATACAGAGGACAGAAGGTGGAGGACTACACGGCATCAGGGTTGCCAAGCTGACAAAGACAGGGTAGTTACAAATATATGTACACAAAAATTATATGTGGATACCCATGCAAACAAAACGCATCCAAACAGCATAGGTGTTGGAATTTGGCATTCAATGGCAAGGACCTGCATGTTCGCCATGTGCATATGGGCACAGAAAGTATTACAAATGATTCATTCACAGTTTACACATTTTGTTGTGAAAGACTTGAACCAGATTGAATTATTTTGTGTCCACACGAATACATATTCCACGATTGAAAAAAGGTTTTACATTTTAACAAAAGATGTGTTCATTCGTCACAAGTTAAAGGAGTAGTTCAGTATTTTGGGAAACGCACTTAAAAGGCATATTATCAATGTCAATCTCGTGTCTGTGCGTTAAGTACGAAGCTTGATTCGGGAGGACTTTAGCTTATCATAAAGACTGGTATTAAACAGATTACGTGTGGTACCTGGTTTTCGCCAGGAAATCTTTTTCCTCATACTCTGAGATATATCTTAAGCTCCTAACAGGCTGTCATACGCCTTTTACTCGGCTTATGGCTTCAATGTGGCCACTCTAAATGTCTATTGTGGTAAACTGCCTATCTGACTTCTAATGGATCAAAACATGTTATTTGCTTCACAAAAATCTCCATTAATGTCACATTAGAATGTCTTGCAATAACTATAATGCAAATAACTACAGAAATGTTTTCATTTTCATCAGGTGTGGTACCGATTACTGACCAGCAGAAGAGGTGGCCTTTGCCACAATCTACAGCTGGAGCCCGAAGGAGGGGAAAGCTAAGAGGGTCTGCGGAGGAGGTCCCAGGGCCCTGGGTGCTCAGTCTCACCGCCCTTTCACAGCCAGCCTCGGGACACCAGCGGATTGCTGGATTGTTCTCCACAAATGCCTGTCAACAGAAGGAACGGAGTCGATTAAAGGTATTTCAGTGACCGTATGACACTCATTTCTAGCACAACATTATCTGTTACAGGTTCTAAAGTGTCTGCCAGAGGAGATCAATGAAACAATCCTTTTCCACTTGGTGTTAATTTACAAAAGGTCTTTAAAATCTGAAAAAAACATGAATCACGCTGCTAAAAACATGTATACTCCCTACTCTCATTAATGTTTGCCCCTTTCTGACCTGCCGTGTCAGTCATCTGGGTTCTTTACATTGAAATTGAACTGCAGGAGTCATGTGCTTAACCCTGAGGGTGTTATCAATTCAACAGTACGTGTAATGTGTTTAGTGCACGTCTCTGTTGTTTCATCTTGTCACCTTGATGTCAAACAGGAGGTAGCGCCTATCCATCTCTCTGGACACCACACTCTCGATGACTTCCACAGGCACTAGCTGGTAGCAGTCAAAGGCCGGGCAGAAGATGTTGTGGGCTTCACCCTCTTGGATCTTTAGATTTAGAAACCTGAGGAAGCATATGTACATTGCAGACACAGCAATGAGGTTGACACTGAAAAACATAGTTGGCAAATTAGGTACATCCTGAGCCTAACCAAAAATATGACTTACCCTTCCCAGCATGCTCTGCAGAACTCATGGCCACAGGACACGTCAACGGGTTCCTCGAAGACGGAAATGGAAGACATGCAGATGCCACACTGTGATACAAAAGAAAGCTGTCTTAAGGCCGCGGTGCAATTAGTTTCAGTCTAGATTAAAAAGAGTAATTCTTAAAACTCTGTAGAGCAATTTCAAAAGGCCCTCCAGTACAATTCATGTTATTACATCACCCTTTGAATTCAAATGCACACGGCCTTTGAGTCAGTAACAGGTTTTTGCCTGAAATTCAACAACCTTGAGAATAGGCTGTCTGGACCATCTTCTCAAAAATGTGGCGTAATGTTAACATTCAATGTGTTGACAAGACCAGAAAACCCACCGCCGTAACCAGCTGATTTCATGCTTTAACCACACACAAGCGTAGTTCTTGCCCGAAATGCCCGCCCGGGCCTCGATGATGAGCTCTCATTAGCATGGGATTCGAGGATTACTGTTCTGTCATAAGACGCATTTTCTCACATCCACAGAAACTTGACGCGCACGCACGCACGCACGCACGCACGCACGCACGCACGCGCGCGCACACACACGCGCGCACACACGCGCACACGCGCGCACACACACACACACACACACACACACACACACACACACACACACACAGGCCTCGTTACAGTGAAAGACTGACCCGAACAAAAGGCATAAAGGAGGCAGTGTACTTCAACAATGCAAGTATTGATTTGTGAAAGAGCAGAATGTGATATAATCAACTGGAACCTTTTAAACGGGCCCTTGAGTAGACCCGGTCGATTGACACCGTGCAGTTCGAGGCACAAAGTCAACAAAAGATACCGTCAGCCAAACGCAACCTGTAATTTCTCATAAAGTAGTTGATGTAAATCAAGGCTGTCAGCTTCATCTACCATCTATCAACAGTTTATTTCTGAAACACTAATGAGCATTCATGCAAAAAAAAAAAAAGATTGTGTGATTTTCCCCACAGGTAGAAATGTTATTTCTAAAGCTTAAAAGTCCCTGGTCACCAATGACAGGTGTCAAAAACATCAGAAACACACAGGGGGTCATCAGCTTTCCATCATTATTGTGTATATAAATATACAAATACTTATGCGTACAGTTAAGTTCTAATGTATATGTACAACACAATTAACAGCATTCATTAATAACACATCACAACAAGCATGAATATTTTTTGCTCACATTTAATATGTTAAAAAGCTCATAATTTTCCACACTAAAATCTAAATATGCCCAATTTTTAAACCGTAAAATTACAGGAATAAACTGATAATTAACCGCAAATTTGAACACATGTCCTTAGGCCAAGGACGGCCTCTTTGCCTGCCACTGCTTGTTATCAAGCACACTTGATACCTTCATTGACAGTCTTCTATAGCGAGTGGTCGAGCCAGACAAATGGCCAACAGCATAAAGGACATCTCACATTACTTGTCATGATTTGAATCTCGACAACTGCTCACAAAGAAGACTGCTGAGGAAAATGTCAAGCATGTTTGATAACTATCAGGAAACCCCAGATTAGGAGGACGTGAGGGCAAATAAATGGGGGGGGGGGGACCCTCTTGCAGGAGTGGGTCAATAAGGCTCAATCATGTTCTTGTAGACGAGCAGTTTTAGTAGCACACATGAATGGCTACGACTCATTGGGGCTTTAGTTATTGCAAGCTCACCATATATTTGTTTTATCTTTGTTAAACTTGCAAAGTGCTTAAATTTGACTTTGCAGGCCGTGCTTGATCCCCGTTTATGTTAGGTGTAGAGTGAAGTCATTAAGCAGACAGCATGACAGTTCCACACAACATCTGGGGGTCTCTACAATTTGATTACGCATTCCCTCATGCTCGGCACAGAAGCAGATGGTCGCTGTGGAATACTCTTACCACCTATTTTTATTGGCCTATCGACAGTAGAATTTTATACACTAATAACATTATTTTAGAAAGTATTATAATATTCTCTCATGTTCAGAGCTCACACCATAATTAACAAACCCCTTTGTTCTCCGAGGAGTAGAGGAAGTGCTGCTTGTGTTTATGTTGGCGGGCGAGACCACCGGCGTGCATGCTAATGACTGCTTGCAATACAATGCTGGGAAATAAAGCAACATTATGCAGAAAGACAGGTGCGGCGTTGAAAATTTAAAGAATTCAGCAGAAACTCTTCAGGACACCGGAGGGACTCAATTTAAATAAACACTTGTGTAGAGTTTTCATGGGTACACTGCCAGTAACTACTAGTCTGTGGGCTTCCATGCTAGCTTTATCCTTTGCTGCTGTAGGAGCCTCCCCGGGGCAACTCGTCTTGTGGTTTAATGTTGTCTTATGGCTCTTCACTGAGAAGTACAGTTAAATGATAGAATTCACTAAAATGGTGTTCTCATTTACCACATCTCCAACTCCCATTTAAAGTTTTCTTTAAACTTTTTAGCTGCGACCAGCAGCTCTATAGCTCACTCTGTCGGTCGGTCCACAGTTTTCGCCCTGGGAGGCTGTCATACACCGTTTGTCATAGACTCTTTGTGAGATGCATCCTTGCCAAAGACTGTATATAAGGAGTGGACGTAGTCATCGTAACGTCAGCCATTGGTTTGTGGACTGCCGTTTTGAAGGCTTAAGTTCAGTCATTTTGCCATCGCAATCCTGGGTTACGGTCGCCGCCATGTTTTTTTTTTTTTTTTGCAACCGATAAACGGACGTTATCATATTTGGAATGCGGAGGAGTGACGTAGAGATGCCATAAACGGCTCTGGTAGCGGCATCGACCTGTCAATCACAGTAAGCCCGCCCTAAAGCATACTCTGCTTTAAAGGAGTATGCTTTAGGGCGGCCTGGGTGCGGGAGGAGTAGCCCTCTGCTGGTCAGTATAGAGAATGCAAGTTTTAAGACACTTGGCTGCACTCAGCAGAGTTCCTGTTTCAATGGTGTGGGTTAGCCCTGCCCTCTATACTTAAGCCACACCCTCTTTCATAACTCATGAACCCATTTCTTGTCGACACTTGTGGGAGGCATCACTGTTTTCAGCAGATTGATTGCAGCTATTGCAAATGCGTCCCTGTTAAGCTTACATTTATCAAAAGTGAAAAGGAGTTTGGTGACAACTGTCTAAATTATTTTTGGCGAACGGGAAGCTGCAGACATCTCTCACCTGAGAGGACTCCTCGTCGGCAGGCATGAGGCTGATTTGGTCTGGGGAAGTGATGGAGGAGCGGGTGTTGCGCGGCGTCCGGGGCGATGGCAAGGTGTCCCAGGCATTGTAACCACTTGGAGGCGGGTTAGGCATCTGTACCCCTGAGCGCTGGCAGCATTCCACCGCGTTGCTCATCCAGGCCTCTAGGAGCTTCTCTCTGTCCCAATCTGATGCAAAAAAACAAATAGACATAATTAAAGAGAGTGAAATGCTAATGCATGAAACCAAACAGAGAGGAATAGGGCCGAATCAAAGTAAATGAGAAACCAATTAGTTTAGCTGTAAGCACATCGCAGTGAGGCATAAATACATTTTTGGATGAAATTAAGCTGAGAGGGGAAAAAGGTAAATTAATACACACATGTAGTAAAAGGCCAGAAGTGAGTTGGCCATTGTAAAGAAATAAAAAGATTCTAACATGTTATTTTTAATGACAACATTGACTTTTTTGAACCATGTGATAGGCAAACAGACACGACCACGTCACACGAAGCAGCTCTAATCTAGAATCACTGAGTAAATCACAAGAGCAGAAAACAAAAGCCTTTGTCTTCAGGAATGTACGCATGGATACACATCAAGGGCAGCGTATGACATAATCCCCATTCAACCTGATAAAACAAGACATGTTCTCATTTCATCCGCACAAAATGTATCAACATAAAAACGTGTTGTGTTTTTTTTCTGTCTTCCCTCCTGTCTTATGTTTGTAAGAATTGGTAAGCGGAATGCTAAATCCACCAAAGCCCACACAAATTCCTCTCCAGTGGCCACACTACCACCTAAGCCTTTCCAACACAACAACATAGACCTGCTGCCATCTGGTTCTCTCTTTTAGAATAGCTGTTCTATCCCCCATTAGCACAAGTTGGAGAACTTTTCAGTATGAATATTGAATGACTTGTGGATTGTGCCTGAGTCCAAATTTTCTCTGCCAAAATAAATAAATAAATCCCCTTTTAACATCGGGAGCGTGACCCGGTCAACTGTGCAATTAGGCCTTTATCAGCCTGGAGACACGTTTCGCCACCTATCAAAGGCCTCAGACTCTAAATGGCCTCGTTAAGATAATGAATATTGCAACAATTTCCCCCATCTCCATTCAATTAAAACTCATCAATGAGTATGACTCGATCTTCCAGCCTATGGTCATTAAATGAAGTCTGAAATTAAAAGTCCTCATATTTAGTCTTAAGTATAAAAAAAATTTGCCGGGGAAATATGAATTGTCCAAAGCACAAACCGATCGACAGGCTGGCAGCTCAGCAGGAAACCACCGAGAACTGTGATATGAGAACTGAAAAAGACCAATATGGGAAAGTTTTACAAGTACTGATATAATAAGTCCAAAAGCTTCTTCTCCTTGAGATTAACAAAAACCCTGAAATGTTCCATCCCTATTAAACAGACAGACAGCAATCCCATGATAGAGGTGAATAAATATAGCCGTAATCTGGGGCTCACCCCTCTAATCTCCCAAAAATATGTCTAATATGTAGCACACAGCTCAACAGCCAGTCACTGAGCCAGCTGAATTAGAGAACAGGGTATTTTAAGACTGAATATCAACCCAAAACTGACACATCTTTCAAGTCCTCCACCAACATAATCTGAGCCAAGTTAAAGTAAGTAGGGTCGGCTTCTAATGAAATAACTTTGATCTAAACATTTAAAGCTCTTCATACACGTTATCTTAGCTGGTTAAAGACAAACTTGTGTTCTTGAAGTAAAGCATTCATATATATTATTGCTCTGCTTCACTCACATTTTACTTTTACTCTCATTAATTCACAAGCTCAATGTCAGCATGTCATTACCTATTTGTGAATATTAAGCAACCTATTTAGCATCTATTGAGACGTATAAGTAAACGAGAAAATTGCTAAAGAAGTATATATACTTGCACGGACGCATGTTGTAGCTCAAACAGGCAGCATTCCACTGCACGCAATTATTTCTAGTAAGCAAAGAGAGGAAGAAAACAAAGTCTTGAAGTAAACAAAAAGTGCAAATATGTGAGCTACGGCTCTTTCCCGTGGTATTGAAAAGCAATGTTTGCAGCAGCAATACAAGCAAAGACCTCCGTGTTATTATACGTATGAAACGCCTGAGTCTCTGCTGTGGACAATGTGCTTTATGGTAACTGTCAACTGTCTAAGTACCCTAGCTTTCAAATGTGCCGGTGTTTTCACATATTTGGAGGAAAGGACAAGCCCACTAAAATAGCATTCAGAGCATGTGACGATGGCACTCTCCACTGAGGGCAATACAAGTGGAATTCTTTTAGATAACAAAGGCTGTTCACATCTTGCCTCTTTCACTGCAAACGGAATCACTGGAGCGTAGCACGGAGTTTATATGAGATACAGCCCCTCTAATCCCAATACAAATAAAGTATAAGACACATTTACCCACAAATGTTTTCTTTACAAGTCAACAGCAAAATATGCTTTGTTTATGCTCTTTGTGGAAACAACAGGTCAGGAATTTTAATAGCATGTGTGTGTATTACCTTGAATTTTAATATTCAGGACCTTTTTTTTTCATTTTTGCCTTTATTAGATAGTGACAGTGTGGATGGGGAGACAGAGAAAAGAATATAACATGCAACAATGGTCCCTGGTCAGAATCAAACCTGGGATGTTTCAGATACACGGTATACTAGGCTACTAGGACACTGACAAGCAGACACTCTGCATGTGTGTGTGTGTGTGTGTGTGGTTGACAGTACCATGGGCGCGTAGCAGTGCCTCTGCAGTGAAGAGAGGGGCCTGCAGCATGTCGGCTGTCTCCACTATCAGCATGTCCTTCAGCCTCCGTAGATCCTGAGGCCGCAGGCCTTCGTACAGCTAGAGAGGAGGGCAAAGGACAGAGACAAGAAAGGAGGAAAGAAGGATGGTGACGAGAGATTAAAGGAAGGTATGGAGGGAAAAAAAAAGAAGGAGGCGGGTTGGCAGAGAAAAGTAATAAATAAAAGAGCAGAGGGAGCAACAGAGGGTGTGATCAGGGTGAGAGGGAGAGGAATCAGGGTGGAAGTAGAAGAAAAGATGGGGCGAAGGGAAGTAGAAGTATTTAAAAAAAATAAAAAGACAATTGCTGATGCCTGACTAAGCCAGTGAGCTAACAGAGTGATGCTGATGGGGAGTCACATGCCTTATGGCAGGCTGTTTTGTGTGACTAATTTGTGTGTGTGTGTGTGTGTTTGTGTCTAACCGAAGCATCTACGATGTGGGGGCCTGTGAAGCAGAACTTCAGCCAAAATGGACCATAGACAAATAGGATCCAAGAGGACACGACAGACCTACACACTCTATGACTGAAGAGCTTTCAGTTCTTACACCCCCTGAGTGGCTTTGGCAAGGTTAAGATATCCAGGGCATCTTACTCAAAAGAGTTTGATCTGAAACAGCACTAAAATGGACAAAAACGGGTGTCCGTCTTTGGATTTTTCAACAGTTTGGTCGGGGCTAAATAGGAGGTTGACGTTGGAAGTGACACCAGTTGAGGGTGACAAACCCAAAGCCGTGTACCCTCTGGCTCTTGGTGTGTTATTCTGTACCTCTCGTCGGTCAAGGGCTGCGTACTCCGCGTCTATACCCTCGGCCTCGGGGGCAAGAGAGAAGACCATCTGCGACTCCAGGCACAGGGCCAACTCCTTGTGGTGCTGCTTCTCTGCACAGTCACATGGAGTCTCGTGGTCTTCGTTCTCAGCAAACAGGTCTGCTTCTCTCTGCACCAGAAACTGAACAAGAGGAAAATGTAGCTTTAAATAACGCGGCACACACTAATATACACGAGGGGCTTAATGGCTTGTGTAGTTTGATACACCTTACATGACAGAAACAGTGGAGTGGTGCCAGTAACTCTGTGGTGGTGGTGGTTGATGGAAAAGCTACACAATTATGGCAAAAATTGCCAATTCCACTTATCTTTATCTGTACTGTGATCATGATTATTACTTACAATTTTTCAGTTTCAGGACCTATTGTGGATTGCACCAATGGTTGAGTGACTTGTTTCATGCATTATAAATGTGTAATTTCAGCTTCCCAAACATTGGTTCAATTCGTTCTTTTCCACTTTGCTTTTTACAAATTACAAAGTTCTCTGTAGGTGTCTCTCTTTCTATCACACCAGACCTGCATGTATCCCAACTTAAATATTTGATTTTGCAAGTGGTGCAAATTACATTTTGCTATCTATGCCACCGTACGGTTTTCAGGGTGAAAAAAAAAAAAACATGAACAGTGCAAGATGACAATTATGAATCATGGGAACAAAATCAGTTTCAAAACTAGGTCTTCGAGAGACATACAGCGATAGCTTGATTCATAAATGTGACTTTTGTACGTGATGCATCCTGCAGTTTGATCAATCTTAACAGAACAGATGTGAGCAACACACCACACACCAGCCACTATTCTACAATTATTCATAGTACAAAATTGAATCATTTGTGTTCAAAATGAGGGTTACTCTGGCCCCTTTTATCTTCATTCCACTCAAATTGCTCCCTGTCTTAGTGAGTCTCTTCCGTTTCCATCTGTAGTGCCTTTGACCTATACCTAAAGTGATTCTCCATTAGCCCGTACTGTAACGTGTCCACACCTCAACACACGTCTTCGTGCCTGAGGCAGCAGCGTAGTGCAGGCAGGTGTTTTTCTTGTTGTCGGTGGCATTGATGTCAGCGCTCTCATACTCTCCCTGGTCCAGCTTCGCTCCGGTCCAGGCCAGGATGATCTGTAGGGATTCGGCCCGACGCTGTCTGTCTTCGTATGGCCGCGAGAGCCGAGGCTGCAGGGCCCCCTCTGAGGTCAGGATCTGGGGCCCCATGCAGAGAAGGTGCAGCGATGTCTCATTGTGCACATTACGCTTGTTAGGATTCCCATCCTTGCTGAAGAGGAAGGACCTAAAAGAATAAGACGGACACAGGAAAAAACAGTTGATTTCAAACGTTTGCTTATTGGCCCAGAAATGGCTTTGCCTGCTAATATCTGGGGCAAACTAGCATATTTTTGTTGACTTTTTATTTCTGCTTTGGTCAACAAAGTAACCTTCTAGGGTGTATAATTATTGGCCTATCTTGTTTTGTTTTTGTAAGCCTATTTGTAGCCCCCTAGCAGGTTCTTTTTGGCAACACAGCAAATAACACGAAAGCCATTTTATCCTCTGACAAACCCCAAAAAATGCGGAAATAACAAATATCGCATACTTCTGTTATGCTTTATTGATTATAGATTAGTGTAACTCAATATTCTACAGCATTTTAAGTAGTATACGTCACAAATATTTGAAATAAAATCTAGAAAATGACACAGTAGAGATGCATGTGGAGATACAAATTGCAGGTAAATTATTTGTCTCCGATTACCGGTGCTTCATCCGTCTGTCAAGTCTAATATTTTGCTTCCACTTAACCTGCTTTTCAAAACCTAGTGTCTTTAAAGTAAAGACAAACACATGCAAGGTTGGTAGCTTGTGCGGTGGGAAGCTCTTGGAGCCCCGTCCTGTTCCATCCCAGCATGTTGCATTCCTGAGAGCTGCTAACAGATGGCTATGTGGAGAGACAGATGGGACAGAGACGTATAGAGACAAAACATGCAAAAAATGTATCTTACGACGCAGCAGTACAGCAATAGAAGCGACCAGCTGATCAGCAACAGAGAGCTAAAAAAATAAGATAAGTAAACCGGTGCTACATAAGAAATAAAAATAATAATGTATTGAATAAATAAACTGCAGCATATGAAAAATCTAGAGCACAACAAATTAGTCCCTCGTCTCTCAACCCTTAGATATCCATTTTCCCTCCACTAACCGCAGCCGGTCCAAAAATATGCAACTGTGAATGTCTACGTTATGTCTGTTTGCTTGCTCGTTGGTCTGATTTTAACTGGACCATATCCTGACCTGAGTAGGCGGGCCATGGCGTGCCGGGAAGCATAGTGCAGTGGAGTGTTATGCTGGTAGGACTCTCCGTATGTAGAGTTGGGATCCAACGCCTCCTTGAACTGCGGGTTGCTCTCGTACAGTTGGCAGGCCAGCACCTCGTCCCCATTGATGAGAGCCTTGCGGAACTTGGTCGCCGTGTTCCCCATCTCTCTCTCTCTCTCCTACTGTAGGCTCAAGCTGACTGATGCAGCTGCTGATGGGTGTCCTCAACCTGTTCAAGTCCAGTAGGCCAGCATACCGAATGTCCTTCAGAAAAGAAGAAAAGCAGGAGTTTAGTTTCTTAGTGGCTGTGTCCGAGTCAAATAAGGCCTTCTTAACTTAAAAAAAAAAAAAAAAAAAAAAAAGGGTGAGTATTAATCACTTCCACTGCCTCTGAATCACAAGGACAAGAGTCGCATCTCCAAGGTTGCTCAGGCTGCTCTGCCACAAGCCCCTATGTCAGCATCGCAGCACAGCACAGTAAACAACCTTCGCTGTGTTTCTCTTTTTATTTAAATAACTAAACATAGGGCCAACAAAGCTCACACGGAGACTTCCTCTGGCATCACCGGGAGCTTCCGCCTCTCCGTGCCAACGCTGCCCATCCCACTGGGGCCGGGAGTCGCTGTGAAACGAGGTATCCTCCACTGAAGAGCAACACGCAGCGAGTCAGCATTTCGCTCCCACCAGAGCACCATATGGTCATGGCTGTTTGTTCAGTGTGACGCTTTCATGTGTTCTTTGGTGAGCTGCAGCGCAAATCAACACAACACATGATCTCCTTCAGCATAATATAGCTTGTGGAACTAAAATGAATTCTCAGGGCCATGAAAATCCTTCTGCACAGTCAATGGCTTAGTGGAGGCAACTTGTGTACACAATAGAAGGAAAACACGCTTCCTGAAAAGCTCAAGAATACATACCATATGCTTAACTCGCCATAAATTGGCAACAACAACAAAGGAAGTGGTAAACTTATTTTGACATTCCATTTGCAGGACAATTGATTATTTTTTTCGCAGCTTGTGCAAACAGAGTCCAGACTGTGGATGAACCTGACTCCCTGGTGTAATCTTTACACAATATCAGCTTAAACTACAAAAGTGTACTACTGTGTATTTGTCATAGATAGGAACGGAAGAGGAGCGAGTTCCAGGTCTTTTTTGTTACCGTTTTGGCAGGAAGAAGTTATTCTCACTGTAATTTGGGGCATTTTCAAAGTCAAATTTAAACATTTCTAAAGTAAAAAGCAACGGTATACATTCAGTTGCCAGTTTATTAGATACACCTGGCTAAAACTAATGTCGTCTAATACAACAGTCCTGCAGTAAATCCCACCACCATGAAGGTTATGATGTTCAGTTTTTGTTCAAACTGATTTAGAGAAGTTTATTCAATGTAATTTTTGGAAGATGTTGTCTGTGTCACTGTGAAAGTGTACCTTTATTATACAAAGAGAGGTGTTGCTGTTATGTTTCCTACCATCACTGATATAAGTGGGGTGGACAAAATAAAAGACCCATTAGTATACTGAAGGTAGGATGTATTGCAGTCGTTGTACCTAATAAACTGACGACTTAGTAAATTAATCTGGTAAAGTTATGTGGTGCTCACATGTTACATCAAAGTTTAGTTTATGTCATGTAATGTTTTTAAACTTTCTAGTCAGACTGGTGAGAGAACGCCTCGATGAAAGCATCCATTGAGGTAAATGGACCAGAGTTGACTCCTGACCTCTGTAAGACTCGGAGTGAGTTTACATGCATGATTGATCATTTGTTCTTTATGCAGACAACCTAAATAACTACATACTGAATACTTATTGAAATGTGTTAATCCATTGCCATGTCTAGGATATGACATCATCTCCAGCCATCCTTTAAATAGGACCCGTACATTCGAAAAACATTAATACAGCAAAGAAATATTTCACCCTTAAAAAGGACCATTTGTACGTAGCTGCGGCCGAAGTGTTTTAAAATCGTAATATTTTGGCAAATGTGTGTTTGGAAAGTACAACAGCATACGACTGGATAAACGAGACTTGGGTAGTAATGCACAAGTTATATGGGAGTTTGTAAACGGATGTTTTGACATAGTTTTGGCCTCTGTTAACTTCAATTCGTTAAGGATTGACTCCGTTTTCAGATCCTCCGTTCCTCGTGGAGTCACGTGAGAAAACCACAAAGTTTTCTTCAAGAATTCAAGATTAATTGATACAACTTTACTCTGTTAAATGGCCATTATAAATGGTGAAATGCTGCTTTAACTGCTTACTAAAACGTTAGCAAATGGCACATCACTCAAACAAGGGAGCCAGATGGCACGAGTTAACTTGCATCACTACATCTGTGACAAACTCGAGCCATGTGAGGACAGGCACCATCATCACCACAAAGTCAGAGGTCGAGACGAACAGAGCATGTCTCACCTTGGTGAACACTTGATCTTTGAACAGTTATATAACCCCGTAGCTGATAACACACATTACACGATAAGGACACTTAACGTATCTGACAACTGTTAACGACACTCCTCCATGACAACATCAACAGACATCTAAATATGATCATCTAGCAGTAGCAGCTAAGCATATATCGATGTTAACAGTTTGCCTGCGTAGCTTTCCACTTGTCAGTGAAGTCCTTCATGCAGGCCTTTCCCCATGTTGTCTGGTGTTTACCATTTTCGCTAGCTCAGACCGACGGCAGAGTGTTGTGTTGTGTTAACGAACAGTCCGTTTTAACTCGTTGTTACATTTCAGGTTAATGAAAACATTCACCTGCCAACCGACCTTAGATAGCGTTAGCTGCGAATCACTCCGTTTGTTGAAAGGGGTCCGTTATAATCACAATACACGGCATACCTCACCATTGTTAGCTGGATGTTGTTCAAAAACATACAAAACACATCATGACGCTAGTATCTGCGTTGGCTAACGTCAGTGCACGCGCTAGCGGACCAGCTAGCATGCTAGCCCAACTTAGCTAGCACAGTTAACTTACTAATAAACTCATAGTAAACAACGAGAAACAAGTATTCGGACTTACACATATGGTACATGTCGCCGTTGTAGACCTGATCTTGTGAATCAACTGTCACTCGCTAGCGACAAACAGGGGGCGTTCTTGTTAGCGAGGCAATCCATAAACAATGTGTTCCCAAAAGCAATGATGTTCCTGTAAACTCTCCGTTGACTCTCTCTGCTGCTGGCTGCTACACGGGTTGCCAGGTTGCAGCTCAAACCCCATAATCAGGCGGAGGAAAGAAATGGCTCGTTTTCCACAGAGACTAACGATGAAGAACACACTCACACACTGACGCTACTCGTGGAGGTTTGCAACCTGCATCACATTAGGTTGCAAACGTCGCAGTATGTCATTGGCATGCAATGATCAACTAAGTGCATGAATTTTTGTTTTGTTATTTTCGACGCCCGCTTCGTATCCGTTGTCGACTATGTTTTTGCAAAGGCTCAGCATGTGTGCTGCATATGGCAATGTGACGTACATACCAGCCTGTCCTATTAAAATATGTAACCAATTCACAGGTCCCCACTGACAGAGAATCACAAACAAAGTGATCAAACTTCAAATAGTTTTCGGATGTAGACTGTTGTGGTCCAACTATTGGATCAAATGGTGTGATAGTTGAATTTTACGTCAGATGCACTCAGTGTCCATCTCAACCTGTACACACAGTCTGTGATTTGAACTCAACAGGCTGCTGTAGTGATTGAGTTTGTAGCTGTTAGTACAATAAAATGCCACTAGAGTGCGACAGAGTCTAAGGAAACAAATAGTGCTTTTGGTTGGGCTTGAAGTTGCGCTTGTTATCCTTTGATCGGTCCTGTCTTGATATGACTTGAATCAGTTTTGATTTTGTATTTGTTGTATATTTAAAAAAAAGTGGATCAGCTGAATGTAAGTGGCTTTACCCTCATCCACACCCGTATGCATGCGCTGGTTCTTAATGTGCAATGAATCAATTAAAATATATTTACGGCATCAAACATGACCATGTGAGGAGTTACAGACAATCTTTAACTGGTGAATTTATATATCAAACATATGCTTGTATTACATATACCCATTAGTCCATCATATGTAACGTATATTGTATGTAAACAGGGACATGGGTATCTTAACTTGAAATAAAAAATCAGATACTCAATACAACACATACGCCTTTTATTATCAAATATCTGAACATTGCAATGAAGGTATATACAGCATATCATCATCACACATATGAGTGCACACATTTCATATCAACAGGCCTTCAATAAATAATCTGTAAACATAACCTCACTGTAAAGGCAGATACAGTCATGTATGCACAAGAACACACAGAGAACACTGTTTGTTTTAATGGGGTAACTTAACAAATGCGTTTGCACTTTCAAAACTTCAAATACAGAGTTACATAGGTGGTGAAAAAAATATATAGTGACTCAGGATACTGATGCTTATTCTTCCACATGCCCCTTGACTTTTGATGTCATCATTGTTTTATTATTTGTGTCCTTGATATTTCCTTTGTCACCACAAAAGGGGAAAAACATATGATCACTACATTTATCACCAGCAAGAAAAATTCTGGTTGTGCACATAATCAAAAATATAAGTACAATGTTAGTTCTGATTCATGGTGGCAAATGAAGAGCAAACTAAATGAGAGATGGCAAACCATTCAAGGGTTTGTGTAAAAGGAAAAGTAAGCTGCCATGCCTTTGGCTGAGGGGGCTTCTTTGCTATAGGAGCTACCGTTGATGGCAACAGAGGCCAAGTCCTCACACTTGATGTCAGAGGGCGAGTCCTCTGTGCTGGGACCATTGAGTGACAAACGCCTTCGTTTGCAGGCCGTGGAATAAGAATCAGCCTTGTCTAAGGACAGAGCTGATGACTGTGTGTCCGTCCAGGAGGAGATCAGGCTCCCACTGCCGTTCACCTCCTCTTCAATCTGTGGTTTAACTTTGTTTGAGTCTTCTGGGAAACCAGTGGTGGGACTGGGCCTGGGAGACCAAGGCAGGCTGGGAGAGACCTTTCTCTGGTATGCCGCTCTGGACCCCCACCCTGCAGACATGGTGGTGAAAGGAGAGTCTGGATAGTAGCTGAGAGCGTGGGACGTTTGCATGGACAGGGATTTGATGCCATAGGGAAGCAGGGAGCTTGAGTATTCTCCCTCATAGGGTGTCAGATCGAGTTTGTTGCTGGTGCTAGTGCCGTTTCCCCCTTGCTGCATGGAGGTGACAAACCACCTCTGCGAAGTTCCGTCTTCTGTCTGAGGCGAGAGAAGGCTGTTGGTCTGTGGCACTGCTCTCTCGCTGTTATAGAAGCGATTCTGGGGAAGGTTGTTAACGAATTGGTCCTGGAAGAGGGGCTGCATGGTGTAGCGGGCCCCGGGGACAATCTGGTGGGCACGGGGAGAGTCGGTCGGAGATGGTGTTAGGCGGTCATTTTCTTGGGCTGTGTACATCCTGGAAAATACATGTACGTATGAACTTGAGGTCAAGGGATGGCAGTGTCTGGGTGAAAAGAATCGTGGTGTGAAAACCTCTTTAAAAATTAGTTGACACGAAACAGGAGATCTAAAGTTGTTAAATAAAAAAAACATTTACAAAACAGTACGACAGTTGATGCAATCAAACATATATTTTGATGTATTCCTGCAGTGTTGTAAAAATGTGATATTTATTCTCAGTTTGTAGTTGGTGAGAAATGAAATAAAATACTCACGAGTCATAATTATCTCTGAATCCTTTGGCAAAGGGGTTGTGATCAATTTTCAGCTGTGTAATCTGAAACAAATCAAAATGGATATATGCTTTATATTGATATGAGAGGATAAAGCAAGAACAAGCATCATGCAGTTACATGCCTATTAACCATATACATATGCAAGTAAATAGCAGATAGCTGATTAACATTAGAATTAGAAACATACATCCATTGAATGAGTTTCAATTACTAATTGATCAAAACAGGATGTAATTCTTCCTTTTTTATTCTTTTATTCTCATAAAGCAGAGATAGTCTGAGTAGCTTATATATTGGTTACCGTCTATAGCTCAAAAACACATTGTGTCACAGAAGAGAAGCAGAGAGGAAAGTCCCATGCTTACATCGGTGTTCTGGTAGGCAGTCACAGCTATAAACTGGTTCTCTGGAAAGGTGAAGCTCTGCGTCTTAATGTCAGTGCTAATGTCCTCCACCCCATCCTCCGTCACCTCCACGATGTGCAGCCTGGGCTGGTACTTATGCAGCGACTGCATGACAATCATCTGCATAATCAACATGGTCAAATCCGTCAAATCATCCGATCATTTAAAAACAATATTTTCTAAACATGCCCAATTTGTGCAAATACGTCGTTTTTTTAGCAAGTGGTTTGGTCTAATTAAGGAAATTAATTTACTTCCAAGCAATAAAACATTTATAAAACAGTTTTTGGGATTTACGTCAAACGATTAATGGTGCGTTTTAATCTATAGTATTTCCGCCTTATTTAGGGTTTATATTTAACTGTATATTTCAATGCAACAAAAATATATGTTGACATTGTAATACAAGTTATTAAAAATCTTCGGTGAGGGTTTAAGGCGTTAATTTAGGGTTATCTATTTATTTATTAGTTTGGCATACCTGTGAAGTATTGTGATTGATCCCTTTGTTGTTCGTGAGTTTCAGTTTGCTGAAGGAGATCTCTTGTCTCATCCAGTGGGCCCCCGTGTTTGGAGACTCTGGGTGGATGTAGACTTTGTTCCCTGGAATAAAAAAAAAGATTCCAACATCAAACTCCAGCAGACAACAGCAGTACACGAGCTGTATACGTATACGAGCCTTATTTGTATTGCATTTGTTTATTTTTGCAAATAAAAAAATCTTATAATTTCAGTTATTTCATTATATCGTTATGTTTTTTTAAATTATTATTCAGAGGTTAGGGTTAGCGCTTCAATTTAAATCTCAATTCAACATTGAACAAAATAAAATGTTAGTACAGTCAAATATTGACCTGTTTCAGTACCTTGGCCACTGTTGTCCGCCTTGCCACATGTGACCCACTTGCCACCTTGAAACCTCCAGTGGTTCGGATCCGCCAGCACCACCTCCACGAACACGTTGTAATGCGCTGTCAGGTTGAGGCCAGCTATGTTAAAACTGAGGAACGGGAACATCCGTCTGAAAGCACCAAACAAAATCTAATAAATGATAATGGAATAAAAACAAGGTCTTATTACAGAACAATGGCAGCAAATTACATGTAAAGTGACACCCTCTTTATCCTCTCATCCTGCCATCTCACCTGCCCTGCTTGGTGATTATCATCTCGGTCTGGTGCCGGTGGAACTTGAGCCACAGCGGCCGGTTGCAGAGGTACACCTGGGCCCTCATCCCCGGGCCGGCGATGGTTATGTTGCTGAGCGCCGACCCCGAGCTGCTGTAGGGCGGGTAGATGCAGCCGGGGCTCTGCCCGAGCTGGTAAGCCGGGCTGAAGTGACTGCGTCCGGCAGCGGTGGGGGGAAACCCCGCAGGAGGCAACACGGAGCCCAGGTGGAGAGATGAGGGGTACCTGCCAGCGCTGGACGCGGCGTAAACCGTACCACTGGGCGTATAGGGGATAAAAGAGCAGGAATTCGGTGTTTCTGGGCTTTGTTTAGAACCCGTTGGATGGATGTAGTAGGACCGGTCAGTCCCCATCCCGTGCTCCGTGTACCTGCTGCCAGCAGTCGGATCGTCCCCATCCACAGCCGGAGATTTGCGCCTGTCCTCCGCTGCTTCCTTCGTAGAAGTGAAGGTGCTGCTCTCCCCTTCACCGCCGAGCATGTCTGCTACTCTTGTCTAGTCACAAATGTCGATTGCTTTCTTTGATCTCAGTCGAGACTGCTCTTTTCCAGGGGTCTTCTTCTACTTCAGGAATCACTTAAACGGGTGTTATGCCTTCTGAGAAAAACTTCGACTGAAGTCTGAAATCTAGAGACAGAAACAGATTAGGATTAAGAGGGGCCCCGGCTATAGGCAACATCCGCAGTTCACCATTTATTTTTTAAAAGGCCAAAGTGCCAAATTGCGCGTAGGAGAACGGGCCTTCAGTGAGATGGTGGGGGAAAGTGACCTTTTCACATCAAAGCAAAGCAAATGACCGTGGGCGTATCAGGGTGTGGCTGTGAAGTCAATCAAAACTTGGACTGTTGAATTTCATTAAAAGTCAGTGACTTTACAGTAACTTAAAAACAGTTCATATTTGCCATAGCCTAGGTGTTCCCCTCACTGTCTCTTTGAATGATTTTCTCTGTTTGAAAAAAAAAGGACAATTATTCTATTTAACACTCAGTGTATTAAAATAAGGCACCATCCTATTTTGTTTTTCCAAATTCACAAGGAAAGCTAAAAACGTGAACCATAACCAATGTGTAGCCGTAATACAACTGACCCTATCAAAAATAAATTAGGTGAAGTGGTGACTTTGAGTTTATTGGGATAGCTTAATATTGTAGGGGAATCGCCTCGAGGTACGGGCTAATTTCTTGTAAATCACATGACAAACTTTAAGTAGCCAAAACAGATTTTTTTTGAGGGGTGGGGGTGGCTTTGTGGTGTAGGCTAAAACTGAAGTGAAAGCACACCCACGATTCTTGAAATCAGTGTGAAAAAATACTGTACGAAATTCGTGAAAATAAATTGTGCTATAATTTGCTTATCTTATTTTATAACAAGGCTTTTACAACATAATACACTTATCTTTACAAACATTTCTTTGCGAAAAAATATAAAAAGATATACTATTTTTTTATTAGACAGAATGCTGTTAATCCTATATTATTATTCAGAGTTGATGAATTTGCATTCGTTCAATTCTGATGCGACTCTGTATCCCAACGGGATACCCGACGTGAAAAAGGGAAATAGGCAATTATTTTTCCGTTTGAAGAAACCTGTGATGTTACTTGGATCAGACAGCAACAAACAAATGTAAACCATCCCGTCCAAGGGGGGGGGAAACAATAAAGAAATATAAATAAATCTGTGTACAGACAAAATGATTTAATTGTTAATAATTCCAATGGCTAAATTGCAGTTGTATTTTGGGGCGAGTAATGTTTTAATTACAGTGCTGAATGAAACAAATGTTTCACCAGGCAGTGTCCAAATAAAACCACAAGCATTCAAATGTCTATGTGCCTATCCCATGTAAAAATAATATGTATACAAAATATATATAAACTTACCAAGCGATTGTCCCTCCTGTTTCCGTTTGATAATCAAGTTCAAGACACCAGAGTAATTTCAGCTAAATCAAAACTACAGTGCGCAAAATGACCTGCGAAGCTGAGCCCATACCAGTATAGGACATCATGTTGTGTTTGGGGTTGAGGAGGGAGTAAAAAGGTAAAGCCTGAGCCATGTGGAGGAGGACTGATCAGAGCGTAGAGGCGCTGCTCTCTCTGTGTGGCCATGACGCACAGATAGCAGCCTATTATCGATTCTCCTCCAATCTCCAGGGGAGGGGCATCACAGCCAAGGTGTATAAGAGCAAGGCTGCTCCTCGATCCATCCATGAATTGCTTCCATCTCATCATCCTCACAAAGAAATCACCAGAATAAGAGTCCCATCAGTGTGTCATGGGGGTCGATAGTGCAGCATTTATGGTGGCCATATATTGTGCTTTCTTTGTCATTATAACACAGATTTTTACAAAGATGAAAACCATCTTATTTCAAAGATATTAATGTTCAGATTTGTGAAAGGTGGTGTTGCAGATTTAAAGTTGGCCACAACTTTTCAAAACTTTCAGCACATTTACAAAATTTGCCTAAAAAATGAAAGCAGCCATTGTAATACTTTACCTGCAATAACATGTTGTATAAAATGTGTCAGACTGTGAAATGAGAAACTTGGAAAGTAAATGTGCCTCACTGACAATAAGACACAAATGTAATAAATATAATAAACACAATTCTTTAATTTTCGCATCAATAACTGCACAAATGGAACCTGCCAAGATTGAAACTCAGCTATATCTTTGTGGTTCAAGACTAGTACAGATGTGCAAATCAATAGCATCCCCCATATCAGTGCTAACAGGGCTGAATAGTAAGGACCCCAAAACAGAAGAGCAGCCAAGGCATGAAGGAACTGATATAAGAGAGTTACACTGCATGTGATTTTTTCCATAACTAGGCTGGAAAGATCAAACACTATACGAAGAAACACATTTGTGCTACAGTGACACGGACATAGAGAAAGTAAACACATTTTTACTTTAGATATCTATATGAGTACATGAACAAGGATCTCTGGAAAACCTACAGTTTCATTTCTGGGGATCTCCCCGATAAAAGGGTTGATGACTAACATCGCCCATTTGTCGCCCCAATATACATATAGGTGTGTCACAAAGAATTCACAGATCATTTGGGCTCGTGAAGGAGCTCATATCAGACTGTTTTCTCCTTGAGTCTTCCTACTTCTACAGTTCAAAGGAAGACGAATTCAGACTTTAAATGCCTTGCTGTGTTAATGGGGCACCATTAACAGCTTTAAAGACCGTCTCTTCTCTCAAGACCAGACGATGCTCAGCTGCTGCTGCTGCATGCTTAGAGAGAAACGTTTACATGATAAAGACAGTGAGAGGATTAATGATGCAGGTCGCCACCCCTGAAATAAAGACAAATACACTATTTGAGTAAACTGTTTGCACAGCAAACAGTCTAAAGCTAATACACCTCCTCGGATTGCACCGATAAACTGATTGAGTTGTTTGATTATTTCAGGAAGTCATGAATATAGAGTAAGAGATCACAGATCTCGGAGTGCACATGCGGTTTCAGTGGTCTTAAATTTACTTTGACCTGGAAGTATTTCTCCCTGCTGGCCATTTTTTTCCCCTTTGTCAACTGCATTACTTTTTTGTGTCGTCATTAGCGAGTCTAGGTAAATGTATATATCGTTAAATGTAATCTCTCAAGTGTCAATTTGTATTTGATTAAAATCCAAGCACATCATACTCTGTCTATCCCTTCTAACTTTCTCTTTCTTTATTTAGGAAACTACCCATTTGACACACAAACACATACGGCCATGTGCATTGATGGTAAAACCAATGAGTCAGAAGTGAGAATGTGTTGAGTGTTGCAAAGTTGCTATTGCAGTTTCTATTTCAGCATCTGTTTATCCCAGTGGTGCAGGGGTTCACACACTCACCAGCATTACTCATGTAAATATTTGTAATTCACCCTCCTTCAGAAATATCTTGAAGTCCTCCCTCCACTCAAACATGTCTTTTGCTTATTGTTACTTCACTTGGATGTTTCGGCTTCACCGTGCAAAATTATGTATGTGCAGTTTGACACTAGTGTGCTGTTTTGACTGTTGAAGTGGGAAATACCCTGTTCTCACCTTAAATATTCTCTATTTGATATTCTGAACATTAATATAGCAGAAAACAATTATTTGCTATGTAAAGACATAGTGGAGTAATGTCTACCTGAGCAGAGAATGAAGTCACTCTCCCTCTGCATGTTGTTATCCAAGCTTCTCTGTGCTTTGTTTACATAGCGGGCCGGCGTGTGCCTTTAAGTGCAATTTAATGCATGTTAGCATGCCCCACTGGCTAGTTCATGGCAGCCGCTGTGCAGTGCGCTAATATGGTGGTTACGGCTGATAACTGCACTGTTAGCACCGTTAGCTGCGAGCAGCCGGCTCAACCTTTGCTACATTGAGAGCCGTTGAGAGGCTATAGATACGCTCTCAATTTTACATTTAGCAACTTTTAAATCTGAATTTAACGTAGGTATGAGGAAGAATGATATTGTGACACCACAAGTTGCGAGACAATCACGGTCTGATATGCAACTTTACAAATGTGATGTGGCAACTGGAAACCACCAGTGCACACACACTGTGAGTGGTATTTTTAGTCAAGTAGGAGACGTCTTGTGTCAGGCAGTTTAAACAATATATAGATCAATTCCTGATTTTTTAAATGGGTAATACATTTTGATTTATTTTGTGGAAGAAAAAAAATATCGGACACAATTTATTATTGAAACTAGGGCATGTTTTAAAATCCTTTGGGCAGGCTGTCTGTATCATTGCCTCACTCTTCTCTCTGTCACACTCGATGAGCAGCTTCCCCTAGCTGTGCCTGCTTTTTGACACGTCTAAAGGGCTGTTTCTGACATCTTGCCATCCTGCCGGCCACCCCTCCTGCAGTGTTCATGCCAGGCGGGAGGAAAAAGCTGGTGACCTGGCCATCGCCGCTCTGCCCTAGGCCACTTCCACCCTGCTGGGAGCAGAAGGTCTGTTGGTCTGAAGCCATGCCAGGAACTCTGCCCCGCCGCAGCTTGTGATGTCACGACAGACATGCTCGCAGTCGAGAGCTCTGATTGGCTCTGAGGGTTTGTCTTTCTCACTTCCTGGGAAATGCCCTCTCAACAACATACAGACATAGAAACCTAATTAATTATCACTTTAGTTGAATGGGATCACAGCTTTCTGCCCTCCTAGCTGAACAGCTGCCTTCGCAGATCATGCAGTAAACCACAATTATGTTCTCACCTTTTGTGATGTAATAGAGGATTATGGGAGTTTTGTTTAAAAAAAACCATTTGTAATCCAAATTTTTACAGCCCTTTTTTTTTACCGCCCTTGTTAATTAGTTACCGTGCATAAATAACTGACTTAATTTGTGCAAAATTCTACTTGCCAGATCAAAACTAAACTTTCATGCTCAGATACACTTGAAGAATTTTGTATTTGCAGACTATAAAAATAAATAAAATGGGATACTTATTCTTATGGTCATCACTTCAAATGGTGAAGACCCCTAGTGACCCACTTCCTTGTCTCTCCCCCCCCACCTACTCTTACATTTATGGTTTGGTCCTGCATCCCGTTAAGACAAGCAGCAGGAGCGGACCATCACATTTGGTGCCCAGCGTGGGGGCGGTTGGTGAGCTGTCATGTTCCAGCTATCCCAGGGAGATACGCTTCTGCCTCCCTCGCCGCGAAGATTTGGTGTTTTCTTATTTGCATTTGCTAATGAGATCCTGTTTACATGATTGTATGCTGAAGGCTATCTCTATGAATATCTCTTTACAAATACAGGAGGTGGATGAAGTCCTATTTATTTAACCTTTACAAACCAATTAGTCCAATTTAAGATTAGGAATGTCCTTTTCAGGAGAGGTCTGGCCAAGAGAGCAGCATGATGGTGATGTTGGTAAGGCCTACAGTAAGTATTTGTTAGTGGTCTTCACGCTCATATAGTTTTAGTCTCAAATTTGATGCAACACAGGAACAACATTAGTATTCTGAGGCTACATGGTGAGTCACCAGGGAAGCAACAGTTGTAACAACTTCACAGTAATACATACTGTAAAAGCTCTTCTGCTGAAATTCAACAAAGGCAAAGGACAGGTTTATGCGATTATGTGGACCCAACCTCGTCCAGTCTTTGTTGAAACCAAAAGTATGGCACTGTTTACTAATTGTTTTGTACTGTCTTTGCTACAAGAGCCCATTGCATTTCCCTGATGATCTGAGGCCTCCCCTGCCAGTTCATCCTGATCACAACTTCACACAAGAGACTCATCTTCCTAGAAGCGTTCCTCAGCCAAGAAACATGACTCCCAAAATCACTTATCTGAAGAGAAGTTGCAGAAGTCTCAGGCCAGGACCAATTAGGGCCCGTTTAGAGCACTTCCTCATTATCACCCAATCTGTACTGTTAAAGAGCTCCTGCCCACCAATCTGCCTGTTTCTGCATCACATTATGTTATTACGACATTGTCCCATCCTGGTCATAATCTTTACAAATACTGTATATATAATGATGAGATTTAATGAGAATAAATTGTGTCTTAATCACTGCATTGTACCAATTATCCCATTACACTTGGTTCTAAATATAACTTTAGTTTCTCATACAGCATAGGGATTTCATAGATCTATATACTGACCCAGCCAGCAGTAACAAAGCATCACAATAATAACCCAGCAATAGCAAAAGAATAAATACATTCTCCGTATTGTTTGGAAGAGTGTCCCTCTCTCCAGTGGGGTGGAAAGAATATTTTCTGCATTATGTCCTCTCTTTGAGCCGATATGCGGGACCCTGGGCATTTTTTTCTCATATGGGGAATCTGCTGACTGTTGTATCACATTGTGATTAACAATTTAACGATGGTCTCCCTCTTTCCCATTGTTATTCCACAGATCACTGAGGGTAAGAGCGAAATGCCAGCGACGGCACGCAGGCTTCATTAGATTCATTGATTGATTTATTGTTTTCCATGGTTGTAATCACTTCCCCCACGGTAATTTGTAAGCTCTTTATGGTTCAGAGGTATAAGCCTGAGAGTTAATTAATCGGCTTTGTTTAGAAGTTTGGAAGCAAAAAATGCCCATCTGAATTG